GGGTAGGACGTCAGATATGACGCGAGCGCATCTAGCTTGTCCCCCCCCCCTCCCCCTCCTCCCCCTCCCCCCCCAGTGGCCTGGAGCCCCACTCCCGGGCCTCGTCGGGCCTCCCGAGTCGTTCTCTGGCGGCTCCCCAGACATCGGGCGTCTCGAAAAAATCGGGACGAAGGTTTTTCTCAGTTTTTGTCCTCTCGGGGCCCTCGCCGGGCCTCGGGACCGTCAAAAAACGACTCGGGACGAAAAACCGTTCCTGGGGAAGTGGTCGGTTGGTCGGAGGCCCGCGTCTCGAAAAAAATCGAGACGTCGGATGTTTGGGTCTGGTGCTACGGCTTTCCTAGAGTACAGTGGGGGCGCGCATCAAGAAACCATCTGCTTTTCGTCAGGGTGTCCTGGGTTTCTTCGTTCCTCGCGCTGCGCGGCGACCTCCCGCAGGCGTGGAAGGAGCTGCTGCGTTCAGGGTGCTCCAGGGTTCCCCTCGGGTGCACCTCGCGCACGGGCTCTCAGGCCTGGGCTCCCTGCGAGGCCTTCCTGCGGCCGCGCCCGCACTGTAGCTCCCTGTGTGTGTCAATGTGTTGCCTGTGTGCCAGATGGGGTCGGAGGCTCGCGCCGCACATCGCCGACGCATCGCCCGATGCGTCGGCGACGTGTCGGCGACGTCGGGGCTGCGTCGGCGGCGGCGTCGCGCCGTGCCCCGCGCGGGCCGGGGCCGCGCGCCCGGGGCCTCCGTCGGTCGACCCAGGCGGCGCCAGCCCGGGCGCTGCGGGGCGAGGTCGGCGCCGCGAGAGGCGCCCGCCGCCGGCGCCCGCCCGCCGTGGCGCGCCCGTCAAGGTCTTCGGAGGAGGGAGGAGGTGCGGTCGGACCGAGGTTCTGAGATCGGGGTCGGCTCGGGGAGGGTGCCCGGGCGCTCCTCGCGCCCCTCGCAGGCACCCGTGCACTCTTGGCGAAAGGGTGCACCTTCGGCGATCGTGTGGAATGGGGTGCTTTGACCGGCGGAGGAGGAGGAGGAGGAGGAGGAGGAGGAGGAGGAGGGGAGGAGGAGGAGGAGGAGGAGGAGGAGGAGGAGAGGAGGAGGAGGAGGAGGAGGAGGGGGAGGAGGAGGAGGGGAGGAGGAGGAGGAGGGGGGAGGAGGAGGAGGGGGAGGAGGTGGAGGGGAGGAGAGAAGGAGGAGGGAGGAGGAGGAGGAGGAGGAGGAGGAGGAGGGAGAAGAAGAGGAGGAGGAGGAGGAGGGGGAGGAGGAGGAGGAGGAGGGGGAGGAGTAGTTGGAGGAGGGAGGAGGAGGAGGAGGAGGAGGAGGAGGAGGAGGGGAGGAGGAGGAGGAGGAGGAGGAGGAGGAGGGGGAGGAGGAGGAGGAGGAGGAGGAGGAGGACTCATGCTCTCGAAGGGTTTTCTTCTGTTCTAGGTCTGCCCGTGCTCCACGCCCCCCACGGCCTCAGAGTGCTCCACGCCCTCCCCCATCCACCTCATGCCCCCCACGCCCCCCAGTACAGTTCAGTCGGGCGTGTTCCTCTACAGGAGGATATGAGACAATAGTCGACAAAAAGAGTCAGGGGACGATGTTTGACTATTTTTGATAATTCTTTGAATTTTTGTGGACTGTATTCAATTTTTCGCCCCAGATCCCGCTGCAGGGGGACAGGCCCGACCTAACAGTA